CGACATGGCACCCACGTCATGCTGGTGCGCCTCGCGACGAGACATGCATTTTGAGTTTCACGACAGTGTCAAATCTAATGCATATCACACCGGAAGAGGGCAAGGAAACGAGGGATGAATTCAACGGCGTAGATAGAGTTATGACCCTTGTTTCAAAATCGCTTCGGGCTGGAATGCGAAACGTTGGTGACGGATTCAAGCAGTGAAGCGGCTGGTGTCTAAATATAAACAGTCGGGTTGGAAAGTCGGATTGGCCCATCTGTTGGTGAGGAATATGGTGGCAGATTAAGGGACTATACAAGCATTGAGCATGGGTCAATCTATCATTCAGTAGATTGAATCGGGGGATGCCGGAATCTGGCCTCCGACAAGTCTGTATCCTTTCCCCCCCCAACGCGGGCACGGCATCTCAAGAGAAACCTTCTCTGGGACAACATACTTGGGAGGTTACTATCGAGGCACATACAGGACCAGAACCATGGCTCCCGACCCACTAATGCACACAATGTCTGGCACTCATCCCTAGTTTCCCATCCCGAACACAGAACAAGGGAGAAGGAGAGAGAGAGAGAGGAAAGGGGAACGGGAGAGAAGGCGAATAACCATGCCATTACTCTCCATAATGCTGTAGGAAATCGGGGATGGCACTCACACCAATCGCGTTTTTGTTTTTCCCCAACCACTCCGTTATTTCGATCGCTAGTTCGCATAAACAGGAACAAGAACACCCCACACCAATGCAGCAGCAGAAGCGCGATTCTGACTCTCAAACAACGGCCGTCATGTCTATTTTAGGCAGGTAAAACCCCGGAAGAAAAACAAGTCTGAAGTGTGCAGACTGGCGCGGTTGATCACAATGCCATGTTGTGATTTTCTGATCAGCAGCAGCCGTCTCTATCATAGGTCGATCCTCCGCTCAGCCAGACGAACTGATGGGGCCGAGAAGAAAGGGGGGGCCCATTGGCTTTGGGGGTGGGAGGCCAGAACCCAAATAAGTGATCGGACACGCTGGTTGCCGCAGCAGGAATATGGTGCGGCCTTCCCCTGCCATGTTCTAGAAGGCCATTGTTCTTTTTTGGGGTGGGGAGGAGATGGAGATGGGGGAGAGAGGAAGCCCGTGGCGGTCCATCCCTACTGGGGGAGTAAGTAGAGTTCAAGGAGGAGTTTTGGTTACAGCCTCGGGTTAAGTTTGGGGCTAGTGATAGATGCAATAGAACCTCAGGCTATTGAAGGCGCCAGTCTGAACTGGGCAGTTGGTGCCCGCGAAGGAGGCGCCCCAAAACGGGGAAAACCTCGGAGATTTCTCACCGTCAATCAATGCATCAGGGAAGTTTTTGGAGAAGATCTCGTGGGCGGCGATGGCGGGTGAGACATCCTGGAACCGGGTATGATGTCAGTCGCGTTCCAAAGGGGAAGTTTGTTCGTTTTTGACTTGCTCCTCGCATGAAGGTGCTAGCATCTGAATTGGACAGCCATTTTGAGATGCAGCAACGTAAGGTGGTGTGGTACTACTGATATGTGTACTTGGGATAATAATAAAGTCCCTTCTGGGTTTGATGGGGTGTCTTTTTCTTCTATTATTCAACCTTACACAACTACAATGAAGGATGACTAATGAAATACCAGATAGTTAATTAAAACTATAGTAATAATAATAATAATAATAATAACCATCAATTGACGGGGATTAGAGACTACTACGTACAACATTTTAAGTTCATGTGGCAGACAAACAATGGCAACAATACCGAGGGACGGGAGTCATTTCAGGTCAATCCATTGTCTCCAAGCGAACTATTACTACCTTACTCACTCCGTACTATCCATCTACTACTGACTAGCATCTTGGTCCTGTCAGATGCACGACCCTTTAGTCCGTTCGCGATGGATGCCGATGCTGGCCCGTCAGGCGGATCCCAAGGACCAGGAACCAGTGGATGGTGACACCGCAGACAAGGGGGGCGATGACAAATAATGCCTCCAGGTGGACAGTTTCTTCTTTCCCTCCCATCCTTCGGCTGACTCAGGACGCTTGCTCTGCCACAGTGTCACAGCCGAGCCGCTGGGTCAGCCATCCCCATCTTTGAGTGCGCGATCCATAGTTACTGGTCTAGTTCTTGACACTTTCCCACTAGATCGTCTTGTCGCGACTCGTGCAACTTTCGTTTCACCATTCTCGGGGAGCAAGAAAAATTTTGTTCTAGAAGAAGTGTCATTGAGCAGTCGGACTTTCCGAAGAGCGGCAGAGTCCCAGGATCACCATGAAACTTCTTGACCCGCGGTTGCCTCGATCTCTTTTCTCATTTTCTTTTACGAGAAATATTTCTTAATTTGTTTCCGTTTAGAGATCTATTCAGATGATCTTGTATGTACTTAGACTATACATAGACATCCGGGTGATGGCCGGATGATCGGGGGTTGGATTGGTCTGACCTGCGAGATCCAGGCTGGATCTACACCCTTGCTCCATTCCTGCACGATCTAGGATCTGACAACAAAATTTTTCATGAAAAGAAAAATCGAAATAATTAAAAATGTAAGAAAAATCTAAAAGGAAAAAGAAGATAAAAAGGCAGAAAAGCGCTAACCACTAGACTGAATCGGGCATTCCGCTGCAGGTGGCCGGCCCCCCCTCTCGGTGGCAACAATCGGGCCTGTCATTTTTGGGCAAAACTCAGTCACCAGCCTCTTTTGCCCTGCTGCTGTCTGCGTCATCGGTGGCTGATGTCCGCGCGCAGCCACCTTTTCTTTCCTAATCAGGAAGTCTCTCATCTCCCCTAGTCCCTATCGAGCACAGAATAGTTCACCTAGTCTCAACTCTCTCGCTCTCACCGTCAGAAGGCCGCCCCCTCAAGGGCACCAGCTCAATACGAATAGTTCCATTCCTTTACCGCTATCTGCTATACTACCCACGGCATGCACTAGGTAGGTCATGGATCTCTCGTTAAACACCGCGCTCCGTCGCCACCCCCTTCTCTCGGTGAATCGTGAGTCCTGCACGACTAACCAGATCGTAAATTAGTGTTCACCCAGATCCTTTTGCGAAACCGCAACGGGCACGTTTTACTAGTCAATACTTCATACTCCATACTGGATACTACTAGAGGATTGCCCAGCAAGGCCAGCAAGGCCAGCAGCCAGCTCTTCCTGTTTGGGAAGGAGCCCGTGGTATGGAGACTGGACAGACTGGGTCTCCTGCGATTGAGGCTACCCTCCCATTGACAAATCATTCTCACGGCGAATGCAGCCCTGATCTGGCAAGCCACGAGGATCGCTCCATTTAGGTTTGCACGCGAAGACCTGACGGGCTTACTCGGTCTGGAGACTTCAGCGCCATCGTTGGTCGTTAATTATGGGTCAGCCACAGACGAAACTTTGACCGTCTGGCTGGTTCGTACCGAACTCTCCTGTCAATTGGCGCGGGGCAGACTGCCATCTAGAGAAAATGAACAATGCTCTTTTCAGATACCACCCCGGAGATTAGTACTGTCATCGCTCAAACTTTACTTGTCATGATTCGATGTTTCCGACTTAGGGTTTTGTGCTTGAATAGTCGGGCAGATGCCGAACCTCCGATCTCAACTTCGTTAAAGTTGCCTTAAGCTTTGGACTAACTTAGGCATCAGCATCAACTTTGGACTCGTTGATCGTAATTGATTTGGACATCCTTCCCCAAAGTGTCTGACACCTGGGCTTAACGTCTTGGGATGCAGAGCAGCGGCGCTAAGAGAGACAAGAGGAGCAGACCGTTTTATGGGCTGTCGCATTACGGGCATGAATTGGAAAGTTTAGTAGTTTCTCTTTCGGATTAGACCTTTTTTTGTGAAGACTTGCGGACAGATGGCGTCAACAAACTCTGACCGGTCTCTGTTGGCCCGCTAATATTGGGTACACAATAGTGCAAACCGGGCGTGTGTGCGTCTACACCTCCGCTCCATCTCCCTCTCACTCGACTCACTTTCCCTCTCGCTCTCTCGGACGATAAGGATGAGACAGGGAAGCGGATCTCGTGTAGTCTTGTTCAGCGCGCCACCCAAAGGACTGGTTCTGATCTGTCCCCACGATAGAAACCCATGGGACCGACACGTACTGGGTAACCACTATAATTTGTTCTAATTACCATTGCGACTCGGTTGATGCCAGATCCCTGGGACGGAGTACACATCGTGCACACTCCCGCTTTGCTTGGCCCGTGACTCTGTCATTTGTCATTTGTCATTGGACGCGGCGGTGATTCTCCCGTTCCAGGGGGAGGAACCAATCAGCCGGGTCGCTTTTCCAGAGCGACTTTTCCGATCGTCCCACCGGTGGAGTACGTCATGGGCTCGTGACTGGCGGACACGCCCAATCCATCCCATCTTGACACTAAACGCAAATGGAGGATTGCGCCCCGTTCACGCTAGACTAAAAGTCACCACTACTGACTGTCAACTCGCTCCATTTTTCAGCTCTGCCATGTTCATGGTCTCTATCCGTGGCGGGATCCAACCAATGCCCAGACTGGCCCCACTGCCCACTCACCGTCCACAGTAGACTTAGACTAGTATCATGTGTCTGGGTTTCTCATTGTCAGAACTATTAATCAGTGTACCATGGATGCACACCTCGTCCCTGTCATCACTCTTGTTCTCATGTGGTTGTCATCCCTGAAACTGGATCCTAAACTTTCCCTCCTTTCCTCCTCGGCGGCTTTTTGCTGGAATTCCCAGAGCTCTCCCGAACTTTGGAACAAACTCCTCCTCCTCATCCTCCTCGTGCGCGGGCGCTGCCCGTCACACCGAAAGGGGAGGAGGAGAGGAGGAGGGGGGTTGGTTCGGGATCCAGACAATTTACAACTAATTAATCCCACTTTATCGCAATAACAGTCATGCATATCATTCGTTAGCAGAGGACACCAGGTCCAGTATCTGACTCTCCGATCCTAATTAAACCGAGTCATTCCCAACTTTTGCATGGACCTTGCTTGGTCGCGGCCGACAAAATCACATCAACCCTTGTAATGAATCCTTGTTCAATCTGCCGTGCAATTTTTGCCCCTCTAATCGCGGCATGTCAACCTCCAAATACCCACCTCCTAACCGACAAGCTGAGATGTCATATGCACGGGCAATGGATCTTGCATAATATATGGGTAATAGTGACCAATCATCTCCTAGCCCATACTCGTCTAGATGGCATTGGCTACCGACGTTAGTCATGTTACCTACTCAGACCACGCCGCTACGAAGGGATAGAGGGGGGCCTTGCGGAGAGGCTAGTAGCCACGCTCGCTATAGACAGAGAGGGGCGATGGGTGGAGGAAGGAGACCGAGTGACCCTGGAGGGAGAAAGACAACTGTAACTGACGGTATTGAACGTGAGGCTCTCCTGTCCTCCCCAAATATTGGCAGCAGCGTTAAACCGGTATCGAACAAGGTCACCCACATTCAAGCCAGGTGGCTCTATTCTCCGTCAATAAATTCGAGCAAGGTAATCGTGTAGTGTTACCTACCATGGGTCTCTTAATACCGTGAAATTTATTGGTTGTTAATATTACTGACTACCGTTAGAAACGGACGGCGATGGAAAAAACTGGGAAGACAGGCCGACGTGGATCTTCTGACCACAGATTGCAGCTCATCTGGAAAAGAAAGTGGGGTCGGGCCCATGGAAAAAGAAGAACACTTTCGGCGATCAGCCCTTCCTTGACCCGGAAGTTGGGACCTCTAGTCAAACACGATCAAGGGCCTCCTCTCTCTGCTGCTGCTGCCGACCTATGACCGACCGAATTTAGCTTCTGATTCTCTTCTGTCATTCAGCTGAATTTCCCCGCTGTGGGAATCCTTCGAGACTTGTCAAAGACTCGTCATGAGAGAGCACCTACCACTGGGGTTGTTGATACTACTAGTACTACGTATTATCATGATCGATCTCGATGAGATGAGACCATCTAATCGGTCGATCGGACCTTCGCCCTGTCTAATTACCTTGCAGCGGGCGAAACGCCATAGCCGTCACAATTTATAGTAAGTAGTGTAGCAATTCTGCAAGGCAGGTTAGGGAATAGGAAATTTGTGAAATGGCGTGGGCACACTCACTCCTGTCTTGTCCTGCTGTACAGCGTTATTTATTAGTGTGCTATTCAGTGGCTTTGATTAACTTTCATCCTAACCGTCTTTAATCTAGGCGCATACTGTTTGGGGATAAGCTATGACTTGTGATGCACTTGGTAGTCTCTGCTTGGTCAGAAGTGGCCCTACGCGCCTGTTCTGACACCAACACTGCTGTGGAGTCAAACCCGGCGATCTCATGTGCTAGGTTTTTGCTTTTTCCTCTTTCCTTTTCTTTTCTTGACTCTTGATCATTTCCACCTTCTATCTCTATTCAATTTAATTTATTTTCATTTGCCAATTCTCTTTTTTTTACTCCCCTTATTTTCCTTTCTTGTGTGCATTTTCCTCGAGTCTCCGCCCGTGATTGGCTTAAGGAATTTCATAGCTGAAAAATGAATTCCTCCCACCCCCCCCCCCCCCCCCAAACTAAGCCCCGGCCCCTCTCCTGCATGACCACTAAGATCGTTTTTGGCTAGACCTGCAGCCATGCCTGCTCCGGACCGTTCCTGAGCGAGAGGATTTGCTTCCTTGCTTCTCCTTAGCTTCCCTTCCGTGCAGTACGGACTGCATTGGTGTGCCAGTTGGTTGGCCCAGTTAAGTGATGGGATGGGATGTGGCCTACATTAGAGGAGGGGGCGGGCGTCAGTCCTTACTACCACCCTGTGCAACGTAGCTGATGAGCGACTAATAGCAGGGCTTGCTTCTAAAGCCCGGCAGCCTACTAGTACCTACTACTTACTACCTGACGATTACTTATGACTGCAGGAAGCTTTTTCCGTAGTCTTTTGAGTCAAGTACGGTTGGCTCGGTCTTGTACTACCCCCACCTTATACGGCATTTAATTAAGCAGAGACAGCAGCAGTAATTAAGTGAGACGTTCTGTACCACCTTTAATCCTGTGGGCAAACCCCGAATATTCAGCTAATATTTAATTCCCTCTTTCTTTCTTTCTTGCTCGCTTGCTTGCTCTCGCCACCGTAAGTCGTAAGGTTCACTCTTTGGTAAGTAGTGTACTTACTTAGAAAAAAATTAAAGAAATTCAATTGCTGCCATACTTTATTTACTTTATACTAGTAGCACGATCATTCACTCACCGCAAGAATTTCGTGATTATTATCGTTTAGTTTTTAGGGTTTCTAGTTATACTTTATTTATTTACCTATCTACGGGGCGATCAACCATCCGAAAACCGCGGTTCATCTGAATACCATCAATCTACAGTTTACAAGGTAATTGAAAACCCGTGTGTGTTTCACAGGGTGAGAAACTATCCTAAAAAAAGAAAAGAAGGGGAACCCGGGTTGACAAACAGTCTAACCGACTTAGCTCGTTTCTGGAATTTTACCAGTTACGAACAATGGATGGGGCGTGTGAGGCAGGCAGACACACACACACACACTCACTCACTCACACTCTCTGTTGAAGGGCAAGGAGGAAGAAATGAGGGGACGGAGGGAGAGAGGGGGGAAGGTGTTCCTTCCCAGTTTCAGCTTCGTTTTGTCCTGGCGTGAGCCAGCCTAGTCTAGCCGATGATGCCGCCAACCATCTCGGATTCCCCTCCCCCTTCCTTTCCCACACAACCCCCGGCATATGATAGTGCTATTCTGATGCTAAGTTGGCTCCTGATTAGGGCCCCCGGGGGATCCCGAGTCATTTAAAACAGGGGACTTAATTGCGATGAACCGTCCAAAAAGCAAAAATGGGAAGGAGTCTCGGAAAGGAATGGAGATTTGGGGGTAGTTTATGGGGATGGGGTATGATCGTTTGTGCACGGTAGATAAAACATAAGCGCGATCGATAGTTGATGAGACAGTTTGGCAGTTGATGATGGAAAATAACTGTGACTACTGTATACTACTTACTCACTTCTTCGTATAATCCCTGAAGCGAGCAACAGCAGCAGCAGTAACAACAACAACCTCCTCGCACCTCATAGACGTTTCGGGATTTAGCGCCGAATACTAGTACTATCGCCATCCAGGTATCTCTGCCTACGTACCCTATCTAGTTACTTGCTAGACAGTCAAGGATATCTAGTACATGCATGCATCGCACTTGCATGGGTTACTACTAAACTAACACACGGAATACGCTCAGATAGGATTTCCTGATGGCGATGGCAGACGAACTTACCCAAGGGAGTAGGAGTATTTAGTATCCAGTCAACAGACAGACTAGGATGTTCAGTGAACTGTCCACACCTTTTGTAACGCCACTGAGATAATCGCATCCTTCTATGATTACTATGTATTATTATTAGTATTTTCTTTTCTTTCTTACTCCAGTCTTATTTCCTCCTTCACCCCCCTCTCTACCACTAGCTGTTCGACGCAGCCTCCCTGCACCCGAGACGGGTAATCACTCCAGATCCCGAGCCCTTGGCACCATCTGTCAAGACAACCTTAAGAGCGAACAATATTATTATTACTATCATTATCGATTTAAGGCGAGGAGAAGGATGGGGTGATCAGGGAAAGAAAAGAAAAGAAAGGCACATAAAGAAAAATAAAAGAATGGCCTTATTTAAAACAATCATAATATCAACGACAACCAAAATAATAACAATAAAACCAAAAAAAAAAAAAACATCAACGAATCACAATTTTACCCTTTTCTCATCAATTTTCTGATTGAGTGAAAATAGAACATTTTTCTGCACCATTTCCCCCATTCCTCTCTTTCTTCCTCTAGTAGTCTCCTAGGGAAAAACAATCCCCCATTTTCTTCAGTCTTTCCCCCCTCTCTCTCTCCTCTTGTGCATGCCCTTCTGAATACCGCCGGAGCAAATGACGGTCGTCTGTAGTTTGTGGCTACTGTATCCACTCCCACCCATGATCGTCGGTTTTCTTTTAGTTGGGTCTACTTTGGCCCCCCTCTCTCCCCCCCCCCATCTTTCCCCCCCCCCCGTCCCCGCCCCCCCTGTTCTTGTCATTTACCCATGGGTCCTACTAACTAGGCTAGGTTTTGACTTACTGTAGTAAGTAAACTATGGAATGGCGTTAGTATGGGACAGCTGACGGACGGCAACTGCCAGTTTATTGTGCGCGTGCGTTGGGACAGCCAGTTTCAGAGAGAGAGAGAGAGAGAGAGAGAGAGCCAGATCTTGTTGTGCCTGTCGGCTTCTCTGACTCGATGTTTCTTATTTTAATTCTGGTTGTTTTTTTTAACGGGGGAGTTTCAAGGTAGGGATAGTAATAGTAGATAGTACTGCTACTTTCTTCTGTTTTTAATAAATCATCTCCCCTTCTAACTTATTCTTTTTCGTCGTCTTCTTCTTCTAACCGCGAATGGCATCACTAAATGTACAGCTTGTCTTGCAGGAAAGGATCTATCTATCTCGGAGTTGGACGTGCATGGTGATGATCCAGCAGTGTTATTGTGTCTCCCGGGAAAGGGAAAGGGTTAGTGTAGTACCGGAGGGAGACAGCGAGAAAGGAAAAGAAAAGAAGAATAGGGAAATAATTTAAAAAGCGAAAAATTATCACCAAAAAAGAAGGCAAAAAAGGGAAAAAAAATGACATGACAAGAAAATTTAATTAGAAATTGAAAATGGAAAATAGAAAATCTAAGGAGGAAAAAAAATTGAGAGAGAAGAAAAGGGAGAAAAAAAAAAGAATTGAGGGGCGACCGAAAAAAGGAAAAAAGGGTTAAAAAAAATAAAATAGTAAAATAAGAAAGAAAAGTAAAAAAAAAAAAAGAAAAAAGAAAAAAGAAAAAAGAAAAAAGAAAAAAAAAAGGAAAAAGAAAAAAGAAAAGGACTGAACCCCGACAACCTTGAAAGAGAGATCTGGTGTCCACCCAGCCCAGATCCAATTGTTGAGCTGCCTCACTCCTTACCTTGCATAACCTTGGTTCAGCTGTCTCCATCGTCATCGTGTGCGGCGATGTCAAGGTACTTTTAAACTCAGGCGCTGGTAACTATATTACTATTATCTGTCGCCCATGTTCCTCTCCTCCAACTATCGTCGTTCAGATTCATTATCTACGCTCTGTGACCTCAGTCGACTCACTTAGTTATCTCTTCCACCCCTCTCCGTCCTTCTTTCGCTTCTCCATCTCGTGATATCTACCTCATTCTTCCCCCCTCTCCTCCCCACCATTTAATTCCACCACTAATCCTCATCAATCCTACTTGTTACTCTTCACAACCCAAGTGGTTTGACGTGTGGGGTCATATATTATTTCTTTTCTTCTACCACTACCAACCTGCCTACTGTTCCGTGTGAAAGCCGCAGGCCGGCTATACTTGTGCAATCAAGCCTCCCTGCTCTGGACTTCTGTTCTACCTATCATAGTGGAATAGTTACCTCGGAATCCTTTTCCATCTCTTTGGCAGTGTTTGTCTATGTCCCAGTACCGTGAACTGGGTGAGGATTCTGGAAAAATGGCCATTTCCTACGCAAGTGGACTTCCAGCGGATCATACTCCTGCTCTTCCGTCATTTCGAGAGGTGAGCCAACACACTGCGCCTGGCAAACCGACCGGTGGTTTCGCCGCAAGAGGATCAGCCAGACTAATGTACTCTTTGATAGCTACTCCCGCCTCATCTCCACGATGAGATCGAATCGACCTCATACTTCACTTCCCGCCAGCACGCGCGCGAGCGGCCTACATCAGCAGCTCATGAATTGACGTCCAATCCCCGCCCTTTCTCTGATCGTCCCTATGGATCGCCCCCGAAATTGCCATTCGATTATGCCGCCCGGTCGAGTGAACCCCAAAGCCGTATGGCTGGTCATCCGACCGACCCCATTACAGGCTCTCCTCGCTACGCTTCTCGTGGCCCCAGTCCTATTCTACCATCCATTCGGGACCTTCAGTCGCTCCCTGAACGGGGATTGAATACATCGGGCGCTGCTTACCCAG